TTCACACGCAACTAACGTTTTATATTAGGGAGATGCAAACGTTTCTATTCCTACACCCTGCCGCAAAAGTATTTGTCTACTGTCGAAAACAGAATACCTCGTTTAAAATTGGACCAAATGACTTCAGGTTTCTCGAGAAGCTATACAAATTAATTTACTAAGATATGTGCCTTTGTCATTTCAAAAAATTAAAATTTGCCGAAATCAGGAGAGAAATAGTAAAACGCAATTTTTCAACTTTTTATGTAAGCCTATAATAAAAATTTAAAATATGTCTTTCGTAGATTTAAAGAAGCTATGTGCATGCTGAAAATTTCATCGAGATCGGTCAATGCACTTAGAAGTTACAAGTAATTAAAATTTCTGAAAATCGCGACTTTTCATCTAACAATAAAAACGAAACTAGTCATGTTCTTAGATAAAAAGTCGCGATTAACGGATAGGAGATGGCCATCTCCGTACCTTAGCCGACCCCCTATTGTACCGGCAAATTTTTACCCCATGGAATCCATAGAACAGGCTGCCAAGATGGTCTGTACCAAATTTTATCCAAATTGATTAATGGGAACATGGTCAAAATGGCGTAAAGTTGACCATTTTAACACGGTGCTTTATGGGAAGTGGTCGAAATCGTGCTTTCGGCATCCTAGTTTCCGGATATGTTAAACTAGACGATAATACCTTTAAAATGAGCCCATGGGTATTAAAATCGTCAAACGGGAACTTGGTCAAAACCTGTTGTGAAAAAATGAAGATAATCTTCAAAGTCGATTTCGAACCAAACTACTCAGCGGATTTTAACCAAGTTCCCGTTTGACGATTTTGATGCTCATGGGCTCATTTGAAAGATATTATTGTCTAGTTTAACATATCCGGAAACTAAGATGCCGAAAGCACGATTTCGACCACTCCCCATAAAACCCCGTGTTAAAATGGTCAACTTTGGGCGCCATTTTGACCATGTTCTCATTAATCGATTTGGATAAAACTTGGTACAGATCATCTTGGCGGCCTATTCTATGGATTCCGCGGGGTAAAAATTTGCCGGGACAATGGGGGTCGACTAAGGTATGGAGATGGCCATCTCCTTTAATTACTTGTAACTTCTAAGTGCATTGACTGATCTCGATGAAATTTTCAGCATGCACATAACATATTTAAATTTACAAATATCATATTTTAAATTTTCGTTACAGGTTCAGATAAAAAAGTTAATTCTTATTAAAGTTATTTCTTTCCCGATTTCGGCAAATTTTAATTTTTTCTTAGTAAACTAATATCTTGGTAAACTAATTTGTATAGCTTCTTGAGAAACCTAAAGTCATTTGATCCAATTTTAAACGAGGTATTCTGTTTTAAACGGTGGACGAATACTTTTGCGGCAGGGTGTATATAAAAGTTTATATTCCTATATATTGTAAATAGCGATATGAAATATTTTAATAAAATTTCTAAAGTGGTTTGTTTTATTATCACGTTTTTTTATGTTAATATTAATCAATATGTATAGAGCATTATACAGAATAAACCATATTCATTGACATATTTACATTTTTAATTTGGATGAAAATAAAAATACATATTGCCTCGAAATAAGCAACTCGCTCGGGACCAAACAATTGTTTATTACGGAGCAGGTATGCTATTCGGCTTGACTTTATTCTTGAATCGGGACCGAGAGGCACACTATAAAGTAATCGGCCTAACATGCAAATTTGTTTTTTTAAAAAAAGGATAGAAGATGATTTCTTCGCTCTGAAGGCCGGGCGATTTCAAACAAAGAAGAGGGGATAGCAAGTTGCTTATTTCGAGGCGATACTGCAGATAAAGCACATATATTGCATTGTACATTTTTCTTGTTTTATAACACAGTACAATATAATACAGTAATTAATATATTATAATAATTATAATTGTTAACTTATTAACAATTCATCGATGAATGTATTAACTCTAAAACAAAAGACCATTTTTTAATCACAACATTCAAATTTAAGTAAAATCTGGTTAAAATTTGTTGACATAAGGGAATTATACTAAAACGAGTAGGTATTTTTATTTAAATACAACGTTAATAAAATATTCAATACGTATTCGATAATCCGCAGTCCACATTTTAATTAATAGATTTGTATAATTATATAGACACAACTAACTAACGATCAATGGATATATTTCCATTAGAAAATAATTTATTAGAAAATAATAAAAATTTCATTGCAATATTAATTACAAATATCATCGCATAACTGTTAGTTTATTTATTTTATTATGTTTATATATACTTCTTCAAGAATAAAGAATAACCATTATGTAAAATTAAAATGATATAATAATATTTTTTACAAACTTCCTTGTAACTGTTTGTAAGTTCCAAAGTAATTAAAAAGCCTTCAGTCCAACGTTGTTTCTACTAAAAGCGGATTTCAAAACTTGCTTTTTAAAGAAAGAAGATTTAACACTTAATTTTTACTTTAAATTACATTCTAAAGTAATACTTCTATAATGTAAACAATAAACTAATAAATACTATAGAAATTCATTTTATTTTACCTTCATAATATCCATTATTGCATTAAAGTTGCTTCGAATTGACATTGATATTAAATTTATACCATTTTAATAATAATTTTGTGTGAATACATTTGTCATCGAAACAACGTTTTGTAATTAATTGTTCAGAATATAATTCTTTTATATGTTTTACTATACCTAATTGCTGTTGTGTTCAAAATGTCTTATTTATGTTAATGTATAATCACAGATATATATCATTGAAATAAACAAATGAATTCATATTTTCATTAATTTTATTGAAATAAACAATGTATCAATCAAGTAATTAACAATTTAATATTGTCCAATATTTATTCCAATGAAAAATCACCTATTTAGCATTAGGAACATCAATAAAATATTTACATAGTCATATTCTTCAAACCTCAAATGAATATTTCAAACTTGTACGTCATCAAATCATGTCAGACTTTCTATACTTCGGAATTTACCATTTGGTATGCAACAATTTAATATGTATTATCAAATACACGTCACGATTACCTTCATTTTCCACGTAATTTGTAATTGTAGATAATGAAACCTACATCTAAAACAGCACGCAGTACCAACGAGACAGCAAATAAGCTTAAATCCAGGAGAATACACCGTACAAAGTATTGATAAGTATTTACTGAACGGATTCATACGTTCTATCACTTATTTTTTTCCCAACATTTCGTGCAAATTGTACGTACGATTCGATTAATATTTAGGAAGAAACCGAATGGAAATCTATGGGACTGAATTCTTATAAATTATCAACTGAGATACAATTTTCTATAATACAGAAGCGATTATTACCCCTGTATTGTTGAATATATTATTAAAAAAATTTATGAATGCTTAAGTTGAACAACAATTAATTGCAGTATTAATTTATTAATTTCTTAACACTCTAACTGCCGCAAGTTTTGTGATACCTGAAACACTTGCAATTTTAGAATCCTTTCCATACTTAACAATAGATTATCAATAAAATTGTAATTGAACTAGTAAAATAAAAATAAAAAAATCAAAGTGTTAAATAATAATATAGTTGGAAATTGGATTACACAGCATCGACGGAATCGATATCTTGGCCGTTCACGTACTATACGTATAATCATCTGTGAGTCGTTGAAAATCTATGAAAACCCATGGCCAAGTTCCATCCCCGATACCTTGCAATATTAATAAACCGTACAAATCACCGTGGCTCAATTCCACGGTTAAATCTACCAGCATAGGCCATAGATTACAGCAATTGAGGCCGGAAAGATGGAAGTAAGGGAGGCTCGGTTGTAGCCGAGCTGAAGTTCGGAATAAAAAGAAAAAGCATAGCAGGTTCGGAACAGGAAAAGAATCCACGAGAGAAAACGAGGGGGTTAGATCGTAGGGGAGAGACTGGAGAACACAAGGCCGCCACGAAGAAACGTAGGACCACGTTTCACCATAGAATACACACACGTGGGGGTTGGAGGCACGATCACGTGTGCGAATCCACTAACACATCCTTCGCTGCTGGTACATGGACCTTCTCGCTTTCACATGTACGATCACGCAGACAGGGATATGGTTACACCGACGCATAGATTGCATACTTATGCCAGCACTGTGCACATAAAGTTAGGGCGGCGCGCGCTCTCCTTCGCTGCCGCACAAGAATAAGAAACACGGTAGCATACATAAACAAGGAGGTTGGGGATGCAGCAATTTAAAACGTACCCCGGAATTCCTCCCAACGGGGTCGTAGAGCGGCCCTCTATATTACGAATTCCTCCCTCCCTCCCTACTCTCCCTCACCACGATCCCGACCTCTCCTTCACCGTTACCTTTGCCTCTTCCCTGTGTCCCCTTGCATCTTACCGGGGAATTTCGGTCGTATAAAGTGGGACTATGAGCTGAATGTGCCGTGTGTATTCGCGTCCACCTTTTCCTACAAATCGAACTGCCTCTTCCTAGGAAAGTAGATTTTGATAATGTGTGATAACTGCTGTAGATCTCTGCGACTCCAGGGGTGTAGGGGTAAAGAACATACATATAATAAGGGAGGTATAGTAGCAGATTGAAAACGATAGATTTTAATTGAACAGAATTAATCATTAATTACACAAAATGTTAACGTTGTTACTGTTATTTGAAATACTATTTCATCTTATCGTATCATTTAATTTAATAAGTATTTTAAAATATAATAAATACATTATTTATATATGGTTATATGTATACTTATTTAAGAAAATAATAAATATATTATTTATAACTCTGCATGAGCAATGCCACTACCTGTTTACCAAGATTTCAACTCGGGTGATCATTTTGAAGTGAAAATTTGAAAAGTTTAAAGTAAATACAATACCATTTTATTATGTATTATAATACTATAATTATACTTATTTTATTGAATATTGTCACTATACTAAATAAAAATATCCCAGCTGTACGTTTCATTTTCTCAAATATTTAAAAATTAAAAATTTTTGAAATGTATTACTCTTGCAAACTAACACCGACTAATGCCGACTCAGTTAGAGTGAATTCCCCCAGGTCGTACAATTTCTAATAGGTAAACTTCTAGTACAAGCACCCACATATCTTCGCACAAATGGAAAAAAAATGATAATAATCAGTTCGATCGTTGTCGCGAACGGACCCAGCTGAACAACCCAGAAAATACTCTTCGTCCACGGAAGTTGAGGCAAAGTTCCGTCAGAATAGTTAATCACCCTCTTTCGTAAGTAACAACGCGTACCGTCACAAAGTTTCGAGGACGAAGAGACTTAATCAGGCTAGGTTGAAAAGTTATCCCGACAGCGAAGTTTGAATCCTTCCGGGTTAATGCCTATTATGCAGATCAAGCGCAGCCAATGCGCGGCTGAGTCAACTGACGTTAACAATGGAGAATTTGCAAGTTGCTTTATCGTTGTGAATCGGCCCAAACGATTGGGTGTTTGAACGGCGGTGTTGCCTCGGGCGTCTCTGTTTGCAGACATAAGGGAGTAACGGAGTCGGCCTGGCCCGGTTGGGCTACCTCTCCGAGAGTCGGGGGAGTTCAATTGGTGGCGGCAATCCTAGTAATGTACCCATGGGGCTCTGTCAAAGTGCTTTCTAGAAGAGAACGATGTTGCATTCAGCATTCGAAAAGTTTATTTTTGACGAAAGTGTCGCCCGTGCACCGAAACGGCTGCATATCTTCGGCAAGGATAATCCTGTGATTGAAATCCCTTTGATTTCGCTTGATTTCAGGGTATCTATGATGTGAAAGGAAAAATATCAAGTCATTCACATACAATTTTTTTACATACCTATTTAATTACAAATAACTAAATATTTTTCACAATACCTAACTAAATATTGTGAAAATAATAGATAAGATTTGTTAAAAATAAAAGTAATATCTAATGAAACATTGAATAGCTTCAGCGTGATGTTAACGTGTTAATTTTCTAAGAGAAATTTCACATTTCTCTCTTAATAGTGAGTTACATTATATTATTTGTCTAAACAATTGTGTCATTGCCACAAATTTGCAGCCTGTAACCTTTATCTTGCACTAAACTTCTCCATAGAGCAAGAGCTAATAAGCTTCTGGTAAGTAAAGTGTTTATGAAATGAAACCATTTCCGTTTACAAAATGTAAAATACAAAATGTAATTTCTTTATTGAAATAAGACTGCTCGACTTTTACAGTGTAGAGAATGAAGCGAGAGATTAAACGAAAGATAGAATAATGGTAGTAGTGAAGTTTTATCAAAGAAACAGACACATCCCTGATGTTCCTTCAGTCTTTTCACACCTCCATGCCCAGAGACTTAAGGTTAAAAACCGGTGGCTAAATAATGTATATCACAGCAGCAATAGCGGGCGATAAAACAGTTATAAAAACACCGGCAACTACGTTAAGATCAATTATTTAAGATGTACAGCTCCGTAAAGAGAGAGTCGAGCAGTCGTAAAGGGGGCGAAAGAAAGTAACGCTTCTAGGACGAACCGGAAGGGTAAGGAAGCCGGAGGGTAGGGCCATCGCGGGGGTTATAAAGGTTGCAGTTAAAAGTTACCTGAATTATCAAGGGACTGACTGTTTCGAGACGATGGCAACACCCGTTCTTTTCGAGTTGTTGCGTATTGGAATTTCTAAAAGTTATCATCTTGTTATCATAATCAAGCTGTCGTAAAATAGAAAACAATCTAATATCTATTCTCAGGACTCCTATACACTGTGTCTTGTTTGACATATGTATTTACTGTCACGTGACTCGTATGTATTGTAGATAACATACGATTAAGAATTTTTTGAATTATCTGATTAGAAATTTCAAATATTTAATATAAATTATAGATATAGATAAGAGATGTAATGAAATATTGTAAAAATGATAGACAAGATTCGTTAAAAATAAAAATTGTACCTTACAAAATTTTCAACAGCTTGAACGTACTGAATAGCATCAACGTGTTAACTGTATTAAATTACCAACTTCAGGCACAATGATGAAAATGATCCACAACGTTGTATTTTATTGAAAAGAAAATAATTTATGTAATAATAATAATTATGGCCGCTGATTTTGCAGACGAAGAATTTGTTAGGGAAGATGCGAATGATTTTGATGTTATAATTGTAGGCGCTGGTTTAACTGGTCTTACATGTGCATACAATATTCTGCAAAAGAAAACTGGGTTAAGTGTCTTAATTATCGAGGAAAATAGTAATAATTATCATTCTAAATAAGAATTTATAGAAGTCCGTTTACAATGATATTTGATAGCATCGTTAACCTATGAAACATCATAATTAGGTTTCTATAAAATATTTGTATTCTTTCTTTGTAATTTCATATTCTTATTTTAACTGTTTCTTTTGTAATTGAATCAAGCATGAATTCTGTATTATTTATTGGATATAATCCAAATATTTTATTACATTTATTTAAGTATCTATTTCTTCTACAAAAAAAATTGTGGTTGTAACAAATTCTAGTACCATTGGTATTAACGTTGCTTGATTATATCACAGATTTTGGAGAAAAAGAAATAATTTCATGTAATAGTTATATATAAATAACATACAATCACACAATTTTTAATACAAATACATCCGTTATTTATAAATATTTGAAAATAGACGAAGTCGGAGGTCGTATTTTACCTAAAGCTTTTAGCGAGACCTATCATGCAAATTTCTTACAAGAGCATATAACTGATTTAATAAAAACAATGGACCTAAATATTGATCGAAGAAAAATAATTGATATGAGAAAAAGAATATTGTGTACAAACTATAGACCTTCACAAAATTTACCTAAATATTATGGAGCTGAGGTTTATTCTTTTCTTCAAATGGTAACAGAACATTAATTTTATATTTTATTTATTTTGTCAGCTAAGGTATAATATAGAATTTATAAACGATTTATAAAACAAATGGCTGTGTTATCCTATGTTTATCTGTTTAATATAAATATTATTTTAAATCTTTCTGTTCAAATAACAATAACAATGGCAATAGCAATAGCAATAGCAATAACAATAACAATAACAATAACAATAATAATAAATATTACAAAATTTGATATACATTATTCATATACACTACGTTTATAAAAAGATATACCTACCCTGCAAATTATAAATTATCCATGACTCAAAATTTCTTTTTTATTTCGACTTATTGTATTTAACAAGTTTCTACAATGCGGTAAAACTACTAACATATTATGAAATACTTTAATAACGCTATAACGTAATACATTATTAATATTTATTGTGCATTACCCTTTCAGATGGAAAAAGAAGCTATAGCACTTAAATTAAGCACAAATACTATGCATAATGAAATAGAACATCTCGCTGAAACAAGTGTAGAAGAACTATTACGTAAAATTGTTTATTTTTCCTTCGCACGTTCATTATGTCGAGCATATATTTGCAGTGCATGTGGTAAATTCATTTGTCGATAAGTAGACTTAATACGAGTATCTTTATGATTCACTGTGCATAACCGTAAATCAAACATTAGAAAGATAATGTAAAATTAAGTGTATTGAATTTGCAATTCGTTACAGCCATGCGAAATCTCAACGATATTTCTGTTCTTTGGTTGCTCTCCGTACTGAACGGTGCTCTTGGTCTTTTCAACCGATTAAGGATTATGTTTGGTGATAATAATCGATATTTCATACAAGTATAAGAAACAATTTTTTATTTATATTTTGCATGTACAAACATTTTTTAACGTTCTATACATTCAAGTAACATTAAAAACCAATTTTGTCTTAAACTCATATCTTTTCATTTTAAATGCGTTTTTTCAATTATGCTCGTACTATCACATGCAGGGTGGTGTAACTAAAATTGCCCATAAATTGTTAAAAAACATTTTACGATTCTATGGTAAAATCAGATACGCAGAAGTAGTTAATGAGATTAAATTCAACGATGATCGAGTATACGTTCTAACAGAAAAAAATCATTTCAGGTATGATACTTTCATAAAATATGTTATTAATTTTTCCAAGTAATTCTTGAATAACACTTGTAAATAAGATGAGTATACAGGCAAACAGGAAATAGTTACGTTTAGGTAGTTTTGTGATAGTTTAATAGATAATATTTCTAATTTATTACATTTATATCACTAGCATTACTTAAATGAAGTACATCAGATTTCTAAAAAAAAATACTTTACAAAGTCTAATTGTTTATGTATGTACGAGTAATACAATTATTTAAATATACTTTCTGTTGCCAAAAAATCTTTAACAATTTTCATTTAAGAATTTTCTCAAGTACTATTTAAGATACTTAAAAAATAACTGAAAGTGTGAACCCATGGAATTCATCTTGACAAGATAAGAATTAATATGTATAATTTATTTGCTACATAACTGTAATTGTCTTTTGTAGATGTGAATTAGTAGTGATAGCAGTGCCTCCACCAATGCATAATCGCATTATCATTAAGCCATCATCTCAATGTTTATTAAATACTCAAATTCTGTATATACCAAGCAAGAATGTATTCTTTAATGTAGCTTATAAAAATCTACATTGGAATGATAATTCCATAAAGGACGTCGTCACTACATGGGATTCGAACAGCAATTTAAATATTGTTTATGATGTAACTCGCAGCAACTCAGAAAGATTTATGCTTTCTGGATTTCTTGCAGAACCTGATTCCACTCAGACTAACAGAAAAGGATTATTTAATACATTAAATCAGTGTTTCGAAACTATAGATACCTCGAAATATTTGCAATATAAAGAATACAATCACTTTTCGAATGATCAAATGAAAGGTGGTAGTCCTATGAGTGTTATGATGCCCACCTCCATCAACAGCTATATCAACTACATGGGTACCACGTTTGAAAGGTGTGCAAATGTTTTAAATATTGATAGAAATGAAATTGTAACATTATTTTTATTAGTAAACGAAAGAATATATAATAATTAAAAGTTAGAAAATTATTATTTAGAAAAAACAAGTAAAAATACGTTTTGAGTGCTTTCCAAAATTTTACTAACCAGAGATTAATTGAAACAACTTATTACAAAATAACATTTTCTGACATGTATGTATAGCTCTGAATATACAGATTACAACATAATCTCTGAAAAGGTCTTTCTGATATTTCATTATGCAAACCTTAGCACCTTTTTATGTTTTGTTTAAATCGACCTATTTAAGAAAAAGAAAAAATCTAAAAAAATATTTGATACAAAATGACGCAAAATTTAGAAAAAATTTATTTCATGATTACATGCGCTCCTTAGGGTAATGTTACTTTATCCTTTGGAGTATTTTCGTACAACCATTAATAATGGAAATATTTAAGCGTTCTCATTTAATAACCCACTCTGAATATTATATCCATCGAAAAATATAGCAACTACAATTATATTCTTACATTTAACCGCCTCTGTGATCATGGGCATCCGCAGGATTTTTTTTAGGGAGGGGCATGATATAAAATATCACTTCTAGATTAACGAATGTATGCTATAGCCGTGTGAAAAAAAAGGAGAGTCAAGAACAATTCGAGATACAAGATAGTTCGAGCGAGAAAGAGACGAGTTCTAAACGAAGGAGACAATAAATGCTGTATTCGACATCCGAGGCTCTCTCTATCCAAGGGGGAGCAAGTGCCCCGATTGCCCCCCCTTGCGGACGCCCATGCCTGTGATATCTCTTTCATTACTTTTTGAACAAGTGTTTTCATTCCTTAGAATTTGCTGAATCATACTATGAAAGAACATAACAAAATTCACCTGTTTCTAACATTGCGCTTTACAAGGAAACGATACAAGCGATAATTAAATTTAAAAAATTTGTTCTACATTTATTAAGTGCAAATGAATTGTTTTTCAAGGATCTTCTTTGCCTCCAGTGAATATGCTACTAATTGGCCAGGAACTATAGACGGTGCGATAGAAGTTGGAAAAATGACTGCTTATTCGATTCTGTATAGAATTAGACCACAGGTGCTTACTTCTCATGAAATAGCCAGTCTTAAGTACGTATTTTATATTATTGTAATGAAATATTACTTTGCTCTCAAAATAAATGCACCTACACCGTGGAAACAGCAAATTTTTCAGAACAAAAATAATCAAAAAATTCGTGCCAGTTATTTAAAATTTAAACACAGCGCCCAAAAGTCAGATGTTGAACTTTGAATTGCTCTCATCTCGAAAACAAAGTGTTAGTTTCTGCAAAATGATAAAGAACTTTTCAATCTCTTTTCACCCAGACAATTTGCAGTTTTGCACGGTGTGTACATCATTTTTTTAAAATCCTAAGAAAAAAATCATCACAGACACAGAAAGTGAAATTTTCAATATCTGAAGCACAAAGGATATAGTAAGATATGATGGTCAAAAGTGCCCTTGAGCCGATTTTATTGAGCTATGCGCCATTTAATAGCTTACCAAAAGGAACTGTTGTATACCAAGTTTCAACTCAGTATCTTAACCAGGAGGGTAGTTACGGAGTAAAATAGAAAAAGCGGTTTTTGCCATATGTTCTCAATTTAATGGTATTCAAAAAATCTAAAAAAATTCTACAATATTCTAGTCATGTTTGCTTATGGTTGTGATTTTTTCAGATTTTTCGGTTGCAAATCCTAGACGTGAAGTAGTTAGATATTAGCATTAAATTTTTACATTTCTTTTACGCACTTATTGTTAATGTATTATATAATTTTGAATATTTCTACACTGGTCGGAGCAAGATTTGAATGGAGGGAGTTATGTTATTGTAAATAATTGAAAATTATGCACCCTACCTTTTAAAGTTTTAGACAGTTTCTCAACGTCACATC